CGCAAACGAGCCTAGTTTACTTGACCGTTCTATTTTTAAGGGATATTTTTAAGCAGACGTGCCGTTCGGTCTACGTTGCTTTTAGTCTATGAGCTCATGAGACGCAAATCAGAGTGCGCAGGCCCGTGCCTTTCTGAAAAGGGGTGTTCCACATTTATACGGGGATGTGAACTGAAATAGTCATCTTGAAGAGTTCTCGGTGCTGTTCACAATCCTGTTTTTCTTAACCCCTAAGCCCCTTTAGTTTCTGGGCTACGCGCCAGCGAAAATGGGGACAGTCTTTCGGTGATGTAATTTCAAAGTCACCTTGGCTTTCATGATGTCATAATAAGCGCCATTCAAATCCGCCACTCCATAAGACATGGGGTGAACACAGCCAAGAAATACGTAATCGTCGAAGCGTTCATATCTGCCGTTCGTGAGCACGATTTCCAGATACAACGGCCGCCAAATGGCTCTCAATCAATGTTGTGGGAGGCGCGATGACGTAATCAAACCATGACGCATTGAGGAGCATATTTATTAAACAGAGAGTTGCGCTGTTCTAGAACAGCCTTTTGCACTAAAAAATTCCAATAGTTATAGGTAAGCTTGTTTCCGAATATCTGATGTTTGCTTCATTATCTTCAAGTGTGAAATGTTCCCTTAAAGGAAACGTTCCCTATTTGAAGATATTGAAGCAAGCATCAGAAGTGATGATTTCAGTTGTTCAGTGCATTTGCGAGGAATATTATCCACATAGATAAGACAGCTGAAATACCCTTATTCCTTGGGGAAAAATCGGGAAAATGCAAATATAGATGGGTTGATATTTCGACAGTATGCCTTCAGCAAAACAATAGCAGAAGTGAATTCACTTCTGCTCTTGTTTCATTAAAGACAGAAGAGAATTCACTTCTGCTATTGTTTCGATGAAGGCATGTTGCCGAAATGTCAACCATCTTTATCTCCATTCTCCTGGTTTTTCTCCGAGGAATAAGGCGGGTATTGCTGTCTCATGTGTATGATAATATCAGCCCACTTATTTCTTTGGTTATACTTTTAAGTTGTACACAACACGAGTTCTCTGTTAAGTAAATATGCTCCTCCATACGTCCTTGTTTAATTACGTCATAATGTCTTGCCCAGCATTGATTGAGAGATAGTTGGCTGCCAGTTGAGAGACAGTTGAGAGCCAGTGTCTGGAAATCGTACTCACGAATCCCAGAAATGAACAACTCGTTAACGATATCTTCTGGGCCTTGATCGCCGCATGTTCAATGGAATGACATGATTTGAGTGCCGTCATTTTGGCGCCATGGATGCCTGGGTGACCTTGAAATAGTCTCCCCGAACTAGTCTGCACATCGTCGCCGGCGTGTAGCGCCCAGAGACTAGAAGAGCGGAGGCCTTAAGAAGGACAGAGCTGTGAACTGCACCGCATAACCTTCCAGATGGCTATTTCAGTTCAAAACCCAATGTAAATGTGGAACACTCCCTTCAATGAAACTGTCACAAAATACGGCCTTGTCGCCGGTGCCGGACCAGCTGGCTGCCGACCTTAAAACCAGTTACCCAGCCGCCGCCAGCGTCGCGCGCACCAACAGACATGAGCCCCGCACACGCACAGGGCCCGCAACAACAGACATGAGCCTCGCGCATGCATGGAGTGTGCACCAACAGACATGAGCCCCGCAAACACATATGATCCTCAACGATAGACATGAGTCCCGCGCATACATGGGTTGCCCACCGACAGACATGAGCCTCGCAAGCACATAGGGTCCGCAATAACAGTCATGAACTCCGCGCATGCATGGGTTGCCCACCAACAGACATGAGTCTCGCATATGCGTAGGGTGTGCAACCATATACACGAGCCCCGCGCATGCACATGGTGTGCACCAACAGACATGCGCCTTGTACATGTATGGGGTACGCTCCAGCAGACATGAGCCCAGCATATGCATGGGTTGCATAACATTTCATACTTGCCGCATCGCTGGTGGCCGTAACTGTGGGACTGATGACCATAGTTAAGCCAGCCAGGCAGTTAGACCAGGGTAGCACGTCGAGTATGTCCGGTCTCATTTGTCACCCCTGTAATTCAATGTCCCAGGCGTGATCGTGATCGATGTTATTGCTCAATGGCTGCAGTGAAGAAACGTGGAAGAACAGCACGGACTTCCACACTATTATTCGTCGTGATAGTGAGATGAGGGGTAAGGTTATGGACTACAGGGTGTGGCTCCGTTGATCACTTTGACCAGAAGATTAGGATCCTGAGACAGTTTTCTCTCCAAGAATGCATGGGCAACGTGTGTTGTGAAAACATCATTTTGAAAGGTAAAACGACCTCAAAGCCTGTGTTTATTACGGGGCCAATAGCATAATATGCCAGAATTAATCTCACTGAGGTATGGAGACCCAATACTTTCATCATATGTAGCATAGCCACCATACGGTAAACCAAGTCCGCAAAAGCAGCTTTCAAGCAGAAAATACATATCAAAATTTAAAAGCTTAAAAGGAATGCTTCACATTTTGGAGATGTGAAAACCAGCAGCAGATATGAAGCTCAGAAACTTGGATGGTTTAGCTCTTAGGAAAGGCAGGGATGTGAACTTCATCGAATGACCTTCAAGATGTCTATTTCAGTTCAAAATCTCGAACAAATATGGAACACTCCCTTTCAGTTAAGCATCACTTGAAGACTGGAGGGTAGAAGCAGCGGTGGAATTAAGAGGTTCGTCTTGAATGTGTGGGTGGGATATTAGTCTGTATGGATCGAGCTTCTACAGTCTAGCACAATCCGATGCAACAATTTCACACCCCATTCCCATTAAACCAGCTGACCACAAATTTCTAACCAAATGCTTTCCACTGCAGAATATCAAAGGCACTTTGTCCCGATAATTCTTGCTGATGTACCACATTTTAGTATAACTTGGTAAGGCGATTGACATAGGTAAATTGGGTATCGATTTTGCCCATCGCCCCTGAAATTTACAGTTGCGTTTTTCCTCCCATTTCATCCCGCCGTGGCAGGTAGCTTCTAAACCAGATCAAACCACATAACCAATACCTCGTGTGACTGCAATTATCCAATCCGATCGAGTCGAAACCATGGACTAAACCATAACACAAGGGGTTGATCAAACCCGTGCCGAGCCCTACCGGTCATGGTTTAGGACGTGTGACGAAAACGACATCCTGTGAGCGCAAGCTTTGAAATAATGGACGGAGGTGACAGGCCTTGTATGCATTGCCACTCACATGCATCTCCGTCCTTAACCACACGGTCGGAACATTCTGAACCGGCTGAAATTTTCAGTGAAAACCCGTTCCTTGAGGGCGTTTTCCTGTGCGTGTTTTACATCCGAAGTGCGTGGGTTGTTTGACGTGCTCCCTTTGTTGGTTACTAAATTCTTATTCCCTATATTGAGTAGGTGAAGGCATGAGCTCACATTTGTGCTGCATTTTGTTATTAACCCGCGCATATTTCTTTCACTGAATATGGTCACTTGTTTTATGTGTTTGGCACAATACAGGCATGCACGATTCTTGGTATCTAAGCGCAAATCTCTGAGTTTAGTTGATAACTACAGGCGTTACAACGCTTTTGGGCAAGTTTTGGGCGTTCACAGTTTTGAAGCGGTAATTACGGATGGGTTTTCTAAACATGACAAGCTGGCATTTCTTTTGGTTACTGACCTTCGCATAAAATGTTGGTGACATACCACAACTGACGGGATTATTGCCATCTTGCAGTTTATGCGACTGCCTTGAGATATCTCGAAGCGACATGGCATGGCACGTGCGTTGCCTGTGCGTTGTCCAGATTTGTCGTGCATGATGTAAGCAAAATGGCAACGGCATCAAGAACGTTATCATCCCTAGTGTTTTCGTCACTCACCGCCTCGACCCGAGTTCCGGCAGCGTCCCGTCTCACCGGGGACACGCTGTGGTCTTTGGTGGTGAGTCGGCCTCGGCCGTCCCAGCGGCGGGGCCGGCCGAGCACGCGAGCATGTTCCGAGGTCGGGTGCCTGTCCGGTGTCAGATTGCAGTAGCTTACCGACCCAGGACGGCATAACCCTAGCTCCACCACCTGCCTATCGCCTTTATTCCATACTTCTGGAATAGCAAATCACGGCTGAAAGGACTCCTCCAGACGACTGAGGATGGTAGGTTTGCAAACAGCAATGCGTTATAAAACGGACGCCAATATGTCGTTGCCTCGCAGCTGCGAGAGTGACTCGACGTGTCCCTGATGACCGATGACCCGATTAGAACACCATGGCAGAAGCCCTTCTGTCGGCCGCCTGACCCAGTACAGGTACAGTATCGCGGGTGCCCTTCTTGCTCTAATGACTCAATACAAATATAACAGCACATGACTTCTTGCTAGTTTAATGGTTTGATCTAGATACCATGGTAAAGATGCTTCTGCAAGTCTAACGACTCCACGTGGACGTTGACGTCAGGGCAGATTTTCTTGAATTAATCAGATAGGTCAACAGGGATTCCAAGCTGCTCGTGTTCTTGCTAGCTTGTGCACTTGCTAAGCTGCGTCAAAAGCTGTATCTCAATACAAAATATGATGATGCAGTTGCTACTGCTAATCTAATTACCTTGTACAAATACCGAGACATTGACACTTCCTTAATATAACGGTACAGTTTGGATAATGAGGCGCACACACGTACTGCCATGACCAGCTGCGGTATCCATCGGGATCTGATAACACCCACACCCACGCCCACACCCACACACCCACACACCCACACACCCACACCCACACCCACACCCCCCACACCCCCACACCCCCACACGGATACGCACACGGCGCCGCTTGCAGCACCGCGTTGGCCGTGTGACTCCGTACGTACCACGGCGCCGCTGCGGCACAGCGTTGGTCGTGTGACTCCGTCCGTGTCACCGCACCGCTGCAGCACAGCGTTGGTCATGTGACCTCATGCGTGCCACGGCGCCACTGCGGCACAGCGTCGAAGCCGACTCACCGTTGTGCTCGGCCCGGGCGGCGACGGCGGCAGCGCGCAGTGCGCTGTGCAGCGCCAGCAGCAGCGTCACGCGGCCGGCGGACAACTGCATCGCCGCGCGGACTCCGGCGGCGGCGGCGCTCACTGCACCACTGACGCCGCCGCCGCCGCCCGCGCCCGCCTCCCCTGCAGCTCCCCGCCCCCTCGGCCACCCCTCCGGCTCCGCGTATCACCAGCGGACGGGTGGCGTCGTGGGCGGCCGGCGGAAGATGCAGGCCGAGGCGCGACGCGTCCTCGTCTGATATGCGTCGCAAGAGGTCTCGTCTGAGATGAAGACGTCCCGAACTTGTTATCGCTGTCAATCGTCAAGGCACGCGGCCGATGAATTGGCTTGCTGCATCCCAAATTCCGTCGCATTTTGAAATGTCTTAACAGTTATCATGTTTGATTATCAGGCAACTCGCTCAGTGTTCGGTGGTAAGGATAATCCTAACTCGTACCTGGGCGAATATCACATTACGTGACATCGTCCATACACGCGCAGCCCATGCCTCCGGCTTTCACGGTTGCGTTGGAAGAAAGTGCCCTCGGTTGATTACCATGACAAATCACCCAGCAATAAGCCTTGTGCGGTGTCTGTACGTCCGGCGAGTGGGCTGCACACTGGCGCCCACAAAACACACACACACGAAGCCGGGTGTTGGATCACCTGCATGGTCCCCAGAGCACATCCCCAAATGAAACTTTGGATGCACCCGATTAAGATACGTGGAAAAGCCTACGAGAGCTGTTAATGATGTTTTTTTAGCACTCACGAGCCTGCAGATGGAGGCGAGGACGACTGCAGCTGACCGAGCTGGCTCGCCCCACTGCAGATGGAGGCGAGGACGACTGCAGCTGACCGAGATAGCTCGCCCCACTCTCTGCACTCTCTGCGTAAGTTCCAACCGTTTCCATCCGATCGAGGAGCACACTCCGGACTGTAGCCCTTGTGTTCAGTGTTTGTCGTGAATAACAAGGGTGTAGGTGCATGTGCTGACGGAAACAGTTGTTTTTTAAGTAGGCGTGGGGTGGTAGAATGTTCCACCAGCGGACGTTACTGAGGTAATGTGATATCAGAAACGTGCTCATCGGCTTTTGAAGATCGCCTGTTTACACCAAATCAGCTGGTTGCTGTACTAGCATAAGTCGGTGTCCGTACTCTGGATCGCACGACAGCAGTGTGCAGTAAGCTTCCACGGATGTAGGTGGAAACATGGGAAGAGGCTCTTGAAAACGTCGCACGAACAATAAGTGATTCATAAACAATCACTCAGACTAGGGCAATGCCCCAGTTGGCTGCCACTTCTCTACAGCTGGAAACTTCGCTGGCTACTTGAGTATTTCTGTCAGGTCAAGCATCCCACTTCCTCTGTTTATACGGGCTGCAGCTCGTCAACCGAAAGCCGGTGGCTTTTGTTCATTCTTTCTAGACGGCAATAACGGTTAGCTTTGACGCCGCTTCCAGGAACGGTAAGCCAACTTCGCGCCGGGTCGCTGAAATCCCTGTCCGTTTTGGAGACGGCGGGCTAGTGGTGAGCTCACCGCGGCCGTCCGGCTCTTCCGGCGGCTCTACCGATTTTGCACCTCACGTCTGCTCCGTCTCCTTCACGATGCACGGCAAGTGAAACGAGGAAGTTCCAGGCCACGTTGTATAAATGGTTGTTGATGCAGGCATGTCTTTGGGCCGCTGGGTTGTCATGCTCCTAAGTGTACCATGCCGCTGTTATGGTGGTTGAATCGTCAATCAGATTTTAAACAATTGATGCGGAGACATGCACGTTCAGCCTTATTCTTACTCGAGTTTGTACAGGCTGCATAAGCATGCTCCAATAAGGGCATGCTTCTTGAACAATGACTGGAGCGAAGCACCAGGAGGACGTTCATGCGAACCAAGTGCGCATAAGCTTGGTAGCCTCCACATCGCCTACATTTTTGGACATCTGACTTTTCACATGCTCACACGAATATGCTTACACGAACATGCTCACACGGACGGTCTGTGGACATCTGGCTCCACACATGCTCACACGAACGTACTGACACGAACATGCTCACACGAACGTCCTGTAAACGTTTTGCCCTGCACATGTTCACACCAACGTCCTGTAGACACCTGGCCCTGCACATGCCCACACGAACGTCATCTAAAGTTTGCGATCTCCAAGACTTTTTGACTGAGCCTAGCGCGCTTACAGCCAGAGCCCTAGGAAGTGTGACTGCCTCACATCGAAAAGCCTGCGTTTTCCTTCAGGTTGCAACTGTTTTTACCGTTGTTTTAAAAGAAAGGTAACCACTTGCGTAGACTTGGAAGATTGCCAAAATTGCGTCGCTATCCATCGTGGGTGGCCACGGGGTTAGCCAGCACCAGAGCGTCAGAGGCTTCCCGCCTGGACTTGATGTACCGGCTCCATGGGTATGACAGGGACTCAATTTTGGGTGCTGGTTCGTTGAAAGTGGCGTCATTCTTTGCGTCATGCTGCTGTGCGTTGAACTCATGCTGATCTGCATAGGGCACACTTATTTGTCTACTGTAATGGTGCAATTCCACTTAAAAATGCTGTCCAATATTCGTCGGTGTTTTACTTTCCGATGTTCAAATAAACTAGAGTCTCAATCATGGTGTTCTGTTCTACTCAATCATGTCGCCTGAAAGTGGCTGAGGGTGTATCGTTACAGCCACTGAATCTCTCCGCACTGGCCCGCTGTAAGTTTGTCCAGGGATGGATGGGTAGCGCATGGTCCGCTGTAAGTTTGTCCAGGGATGGATGGGTAGCGCATGGTCCGCTGTAAGTTTGTCCAGGGATGGATGGGTAGCGCATGGTCCGCTGTAAGTTTGTCCAGGGATGGATGGGTAGCGCATGGTCCGCTGTAAGTTTGTCCAGGGATGGATGGGTAGCGCATGGTCCGCTGTAAGTTTGTCCAGGATGGATGGGTAACGCATGGGTCCGCTGTAAGTTTGTCCAGGGATGGATGGGTAGCGCATGGTCCGCTGTAAGTTTGTCCAGGGATGGATGGGTAGCGCATGGTCCGCTGTAAGTTTGTCCAGGGATGGATGGGTAAGCGCATGGTCCGCTGTAAGTTTGTCCAGGGATGGATGGGTAGCGCATGGTCCGCTGTAAGTTTGTCCAGGGATGGATGGGTAGCGCATGGTCCGCTGTAAGTTTGTCCAGGGATGGATGGGTAGCGCATGGTCCGCTGTAAGTTTGTCCAGGGATGGATGGGTAGCGCATGGTCCGCTGTAAGTTTGTCCAGGGATGGATGGGTAACGCATGGTCCGCTGTAAGTTTGTCCAGGGATGGATGGGTAACGCATGGTCCGCTGTAAGTTTGTCCAGGGATGGATGGGTAGCGCATGGTCCGCTGTAAGTTTGTCCAGGGATGGATGGGTAGCGCATGGTCCGCTGTAAGTTTGTCCAGGGATGGATGGGTAGCGCATGGTCCGCTGTAAGTTTGTCCAGGGATGGATGGGTAGCGCATGCTCCGCTGTAAGTTTCCAGGGATGGATGGGTAGCGCATGGTCCGCTGTAAGTTTGTCCAGGGATGGATGGGTAACGCATGGTCCGCTGTAAGTTTGTCCAGGGATGGATGGGTAACGCATGGTCCGCTGTAAGTTTGTCCAGGGATGGATGGGTAACGCATGGTCCCGCTGTAAGTTTGTCCAGGGATGGATGGGTAACGCATGGTCCGCTGTAAGTTTGTCCAGGATGGATGGTAGCGCATGGTCCGCTGTAAGTTTGTCCAGGGATGGATGGGTAGCGCATGGTCCGCTGTAAGTTTGTCCAGGGATGGATGGGTAGCGCATGGTCCGCTGTAAGTTTGTCCAGGGATGGATGGGTAGCGCATGCGCATCCCGGAGGCATGCTCCGCGGAACGTGGAAATGGCATCGGTGCTTTCACCATATCCTCTTTTCTTGGAAGATATAGAACTACCTTATCGGGCGAACAAAACACACCTCTGTCGACTAATATCTCTTCATTTTGCGGGTGACTGTACACGAATGAATGGATGGGACAAAAAATAAGGTGTTACGTCACAAAAGCGTGTTCATTAAACACGAGCCTTAACAAGCGGGGCTCAATACGCTCTGTCTGTTTTCTTTTTGGGTGCGAGCATCCCCACAGCAAAGAAACTGTCATATGCAACTTAAATAGGAACCTAGCAGGTCGTTTGCCAAGAGATGAATCTGAGATCTGCTGAAACCCACGGGGCTCTGAAGTTACGTGCTCAAGGGGAAACAGTGCGTTTAGATCAAAGGGAATGCGCATGCATTTGATAGACACCGTGACCTCAGGAAAACTATGTATGACTTCGAGCTTTTCTGATTTAAAACTGTGTCAGCGATACTCGCAACTTTGTGCTGTACTTTTATTAGTATCCACTACAATAAGAACAAAAACAAAGCAGAAACAACTCTGAATACGCCTGACCGTTTTTGGGCCACATGGGTGCAACACAGGCTCATGCTATTTGCAAAGCATACCACAGTTCTTGTAGCTTCCTGCCAACCCGAAAATTATCTATTTCAGCGGTTATAGCCTGTGGGATCCTGCGGAGGCAGAAAACCCCCTCTCCCGCCCCTATATATCCATGCAGAGAGAATTACTTTCAGCAGTACCTCAGTGCGGGTTTTACCTCGCATCACTGTAGTTGCAGAAAGATGTGGTGACGACACAACGCGAGCGGTGTGTCCGCCGGCGGTCCTTAACAGTAGAAACTACCAACGGATGGAGATGGGAACGGAGATCAGCTCAGCAACCCATTTAGTCTGGCCCGGCATGGCACGTGGCCGCGTGCCATATTGGATTGCCCTGTGCAATTCAGAGCCGTCTCGGCGGCCCGTGTGAGCACTGTGGGGCGGCCGCTCCGTTGCCGCGATCAGGAGAGAGCGGGCTCTATAGAGGTTGTCGTGCCCTCTATGCCGTCCGGACATCCCTGCCGGCGCGACGTTGTCTTGATCCGCCAACACGCCACCGCCGCCGCCGCCGCTCCCGCCCTCGGTAATTAATTTAAGGTTTGTTTTATAGATAATAGAGACGAGGATAATTGAATGGGGCAGTTGGGAAGATGGAT